ACACACGCACGCACGCACGCACGCACACACACACACACACACACACACACACACACACACACACACACACACACACACACACACACACACACGATACAATCTTACAAATGATTTGTAGCTACTAGATATTATTTGCCTCATTTTCTTGGCAATGCTGACGACATCATTGTGCCACTTTTCTCTTGTAAATAAAACGAGTCAAGTCACGAGTCCTGGGCAGGGGACCATCATATTCTCACATGCTCGCCTCAATATTTTATTTTAGAATAACATTATTATTGCAGAGTGATCCGTCGCTATTTCGCGGTTCGTTTATCGCGGCCTCGTGCATCGCGTGGATTTTTTCAGACAAATTCTTTTTTTTTAAATGCTACTTCGCGGATTTCCGTCTATCGTGGGTGGTTTTGGTCCCCATTAACCGCGATAAATGGTGGATTACTGTCGTAGTATTTAAAAAAAACACTCACATTCATCTCATATTACATCCACTTTGTTCTCATTCGTTTTCTTCAATCTTGTAAAATACCACCCCTTTTTTGACACAATACTGTCATTCACGACTTCGACCACGAGGTGGCACCAGTGTGTGTGTGTGTCACTGAGGCATTTGTAGCTACGAGGTATTATTTGCCTCATTTTCTTGGTCATGCAAACGATATCATTGTGACACTTTACTCTTATAAATGAGTCAAGTCACGAGTCCTGGGCAAGGGATCATCACGAACTCATGTGCTCGCCTCAATCATATTTTATTTTAGAATAACATTATTATTGTAGTAGTATTAAAAAAAAAACGATGGCAGAGGTGTCGAAACATCAACATTTCTTGTTTTCCAAAAAAGCCTTACATAACCACATGGCGCCGCGAGAGTGGCTGCCTTTCCAGCAGCCACTTTGTTCTCATCATACGTTTTCTTCCATCTTTTTTTCCACGAAACTGTCATTCACGACTTCGACCACGAGGTGGCACCAGTCTAAACTACGGGGGTCCCCCAAAGTTAACCCTGCGAGGGCCACCTCACTTTTCTCTGACGGGCCGGGGTCAATTTGTCCCCCCAAAAATCTGAAAATAAATAACATGATGAATGACATAAATAAGAACCGATCAAGTATTCTCTGACCGAATCTTTTCGCCTGATGGCAGAGGTGTCGAAACGTAAACATTTCTTGTTTTCCAAAAAGCCTTACATAACCACATATTAACCCCCCAAAAATCTGAAAGTAAATAACATTATGAATGACATAAATAATAACCGATCAAGTATTCTCTGACCGAATCTTTTCGCCATGATTCCATTTTATTTAGCAGGGGGTGTGCCCAGGATTTGTTTTCTCGTTTTTTGCAGTGAAGGCTTTCAGAGGGGCTCTGACTCCAGAAGCTTGGAATCGAACGTTACGTTCTGTGCATGTACAAGTCTCGATCACGCGGTCAGACTGCAAAAAAAAAAAAAAAAAACTGCTCATGTATCTCTGGTATTGTTCAGGGGGGGGGCAAAATGTGGAGGCGTGCCGTCGTTTGGGGGCCGATGAGAGACACCTTCGAAAATGTCTGCTACATTTTGATTAAGAAAATAAAACAATCAATAAAATGACCTCCGTCGTCAAAGAGCCACCAGACGTCGATGGTTCCTTTGCCTTGTTTCTTCTTGAACTGCTGACTGGACTCTTGGAGGCGCTGGTCGCTCGCACTCAGAGTCGCTTTGCCATCTACACACACACACACACAGATTGACAGACTTGCCGAGTTCATTTGTTCAGTAACCAAGATGGTAACTCAGTCTGACTTAAAAGTTGTTGAGGTTGCATTGAGATACTAATCATCACAATAATCCTAATAATAATAATAATTGGTCCATCACCTCCAATGATGAGCGGGCTGCTCCGGTCGTGAGCTGCCTTGGACGGACTCGAGTCTGACTCCGAGTCTTTGGTCAGAGCGAAGGTCACCGGGGTGTCCTTGCTGACCGGAGGCTTCTCATGGGAGCAAGACAGCTCGTCTGCGAGGAATGCAAAGAAACCGCACACGCGCTGGACTTTTTCGCTCATCAAAATCGGCAAATCCGCTGGGATTAGTTCATGATGAATCAATCGGACATGTCAGGTGACACTCTGGTTCCAACTGGTGCGCTCGAAATGGAACTATTGTACGCCAAGAGGCACTCGGAGATCAACTGATGATGTCTGCGTGTCAGGAGAGACTCCGGGAGAGTCGACTGATGTCCGCGTAGCTCTAAAATGTACCAGAGGACATTGACATCCGGCTAAGGAACGCAAAGAAAACCGCACACGCGCTGGACTTTTTCGCTCATCGAAATCGGCAAATCCGCTGGGATTAGTTCATGATGAATCAATCGGACATGTCAGGTGACACTCTGGTTCCAACTGGTGCGCTCGAAATGGAACTATTGTACGCCAAGAGGCACTCGGAGATCAACTGATGATGTCTGCGTGTCAGGAGAGACTCCGGGAGAGTCGACTGATGTCCGCGTAGCTCTAAAATGTACCAGAGGACATTGACATCCGGCAGTCTTCACTCTGGCATCGGCCTGGAGGTCAACGTGATGACTCTGTGATTGGCTGATGATGCCCGCATGAAGCTCTGCTAAATCAGGGACATTCTGGGATCGATTGATTGACAGTGATTTGAAATTGGAGCGGCAAATTGATGCCTGGTGACACTGGTTCCAACAGGTGCGCTCGAAATGGAACTATCATACGCCAAGAGGCACTCGGAGATCAACTGATGATGTCTGCGTGTCTGATACGTCAGGAGAGACTCCGGGAGAGTCGACTGATGTCCGCGTAGCTCTAAAATGTACCAGAGGACATTGACATCCGGCTGTCTTCACTCTGGCATCTGCCTGGAGTTCAACGTGATGACTCTGTGATTGGCTGATCAGGGACACTGTGGGATCGATTGATAGACAGTGATTTGAAATTGGAGCGGCAAATTGATGCCGTTGTTCAATCCGGCTTCTTTCATCTTGGCCAGCTAGCGAAAGTCAAGCCCGTTTGTTCTCAAGAGGCACTTTCAAGCAGCCATTCGTGCCTTTGCCACATCTCGGCTGCATGACTGTCATGCACTTGGATTTTGGAGTCAGACAATCCTCCATCAAGCTTCTCCAGTTGGTCCAGAAAGCCGCCGCTCGCCTCTTGACTGCTCCTCTAAAAGACTCAACTCATTTTTAGTCTTTGGCTTTTGCCTCAGCATGGGACTTGATTTTGACTTGGTCTGTTTTCGGGCTTCCTACTATATTTGAAAACGTATTTCATAGTTTTGTCCGATGAGTCCGAGGGGTCCCCCAAATTCGGTCGGTGAGAGCCGTTCCCATGCGTCGCCGGGTGCTGCTGTTTTGGTGAGCGACCGGGCCATCGTTGCCACTGACCTTGTCCTTGGATGTGAGAGACGTCCAGACCCTCAGCAAGCCTCAGGATCACCATGCCGAACTGCAGGTCAAAGGCGTCACTGCGCAACAACACCCGCGACGCATCGGTGAAGACGACGACGACAGAGAAGATGAACATGAAGGCGTTTCCTACTGGATGATGTTGATGTACGTCTCCACGTCGTTCATCTGACCCTCCATCCAGTTGTTCTTGAAGCCCAGCACCAGAGTGTTGGGTTTCAGGCGGCCCAGACCCACTGACTGGATAGGGAGACACCGGCGTCACTCAACACTGCAATCGATGAAACAACGAGGGGGGGACGCGGGGGACTGTTGTCGCCACCTGCAGCAGGAAGTGCGCGCCGTGTCTGAGCGTGTCGGAGAAGACGGGAGCGTAGAAAGCTTTGATGCGCTTCTTGTTGAGCCAACGCTGACAGCTGATTTTGACTCGGTCTGTTTTGGGGGTTCCTACTATATTTGAAAACGTATTTTATTGTTTTGTCCGATGAGTCCGAGGGGTACCCCAAATTCGGCCGGTGAGAGCCTTTCCCCTGCGTCGCCGGGTGCTGCTGTTTTGGTGAGCAACCGGGCCATTAGTTGCCACTGACCTTGTCCTTGGATGTGAGAGACGTCCAGACCCTCAGCAAGCCTCAGGATCACCATGCCGAACTGCAGGTCAAAGGCGTCACTGCGCAACAACACCCGCGACGCATCGGTGAAGACGACGACGACAGAGAAGATGAACATGAAGGCGTTTCCTACTGGATGATGTTGATGTACGTCTCCACGTCGTTCATCTGACCCTCCATCCAGTTGTTCTTGAAGCCCAGCACCAGAGTGTTGGGTTTCAGGCGGCCCAGACCCACTGACTGGACAGGGAGACACCGGCGTCACTCAACACTCCAATCGATGAAACAACGAGGGGAGGTGGTGGGGAGAACAGGGAGTGTTGTCGCCACCTGCAGCAGGAAGTGCGCGCCGTGTCTGAGCGTGTCGGAGAAGACGGGAGCGTAGAAAGCTTTGATGCGCTTCTTGTTGAGCCAACGCTGACAGCGTGCGTGCTCCTGAGACGCCTCCTTCACGTTGGGACGTCGACACGCCTGCAAGGGGGCGGGGCTCGTCATCGGGTTGTCGCGCGACGAAAGAGAGAGCTTTGAAACGGGGGTACGTACGATCCGGACGTGTCCGCACACCATCAGGCCCACGTTCTTGGTGAAGGAATGGACCAGCTGCAGCAGAGCGGGCCGAGCGCTCGGGTACCCGGTCAGGACCAAACACTGAGGCCTGCCGGCAGCACAAACCTCAACGCTCGACACACAAAGACACTCTTGACATCGGCCGATGACGTCTGCGGAAGCAGCCGATGGCGTCTTTGTGGCTCTTCGACAATGCGCCGGGAGACCGCCTCGGCGTCTGCATGATTCTGACCCGCCGGGAGATTTGAAAGATGAATTTGCTCGGTTGTCACGTCACTCAGTGACAGGCTGCTCACGTCTACGTGAATCTACAATCTGCCTGCAGCCACTTTGGACTCGACCGGCGATGCCTGCTCGAATCTCTGGTGCGCCGGGAGGCACTTTGGGATCAACCGATGACGTCTTTGTGGCTCCAATACGTAGACGGGTATTGGAGCCACGATGATGTCTGTCCGAATGAATCTGGTGCCGTGAATCCATCGAGTCTCAACACATTCTGGGAGCGTCTTGTTTTTTGCTCCAACACAGCCCCCCCCCCCCCCCCCCCCCCCCCCCCCTTTGAGCTCACCTGAAGTTCTTGACATGGTCCTCCACACCGGTCAGGTTGAGACATTGCGTGAGCGCCTGGTTGTAGATGAGAGCCTGAGTGGACGATCCCCAGTTGACGTCTTGCGCACGCACGCGCCGACGTGATCGAGAGGATGGGAAGAAGGCAGCGGTGAGCGCGGAGGGGAGGCGCACGCGTAAGCCAGAGTGCGCTGGAGGCTCGCTCACCGGGCTTCTTGTAGCTAACGTAGATGTAGAGCGCCAGGACAATGAGCAGCGTGACGAGAGCCGCCCACCAGTTGATGACAAACATCACCACGCAGCACAAGATGGCGCCCAGCAGGGACACCCACATGTTGTAGTACTTGAAGCTGGGACGCCACCCTGGGGGGGGGACGGGACGGCAAGGACTGAATGAATACTTGACAATCAGTTAAGTGGACAAAAGTACTGGCTGACATCCAGAACATCCATGATCGTACAGCACCCGGTTTTTGCCTCACTCGTGACATGTACTCGTCAGGAGGGAGTCAAGTCAAATTTGTCCCACGTGGCTTTTCCGTCCACGAGTGAAGCCTTCGAGCTCACCTGGAGAGTTGGCCAGCGAGGCGTGGAAGACGGAGAAGTTGATGAGCGCGTAGGACGCCAAGAAAAAGTTGGAGATGATCGGAGCGATGATGTTCAACTCGGCTGAGAGGAAAAAGAAAAAATGAGCCACGAATGGAGCGGGGGCGTCTCCGTCGGCCGATATCGAGCGTCGGTGGGCTACCGATGAGGATGAAGGCGAGGCCGATGCCCCCCCCACCAACCCCCGCGCACACACAAACACAACTTGACGCCGACATCGTCATCATTTTCTGCTATTTTCTTTCTGGCCTTTTTGGGCGATTGAAAAAAAACAAACGAACATAAGTTCCAGTTCTGATAAGAAAATTTCCATCAATTTTTTTATTTGTGAGCCAGTTTGTTTTGCAAAAAATATTGCTCATAATGAATACGCTGACAGCGGGAGCTTCTGCTTCGGAAATTAAAATCAAATACTTTTAATTCTTCAAATCCAATCCTGTGGTCATATTTGCACCTCTTAAAATCAAAACGGTGTCATTCATTTGCTCCAGGGAAGTGCAGAAGGCATTTGGGGAAATCAAACTTACATTTTTAAACTCATGAGTCGAGAATGAAACCAATTTTACTCCAATTACAGTGGCTGCATGTAAACACATTTATAGGCAGATTTTTGCGCCCCCAAGACAAACATGTCACAAGTCTGACAAGACCGACGAAGGACGTAATCATCCTGCTGCTCTAAAATTCGATAAAGCCTGCGTACGTTTCCAAATAGCGTGCAGGGTGCACCCCCAAGACAAACATGTCACAGGTCTGACAAGACCGACGAAGGACGTAATTATCCTGCTCCTCTAAAATTCGATAAAGCCGTGCGTACGTTTCCAAATAGCGTGCAGGGTGCACCCCGCCTGCCGGCCGAAGACGGCTGGGATGGGCTCAAGCGTGCCCGCGACGCTCCTGAAAATAATCGGCTCAGATGGAGGATGGATTTTTCAAAAGATCGATTTTGTTATTTCGTTTTGATTCCGCCTTTTTTTCCCGATATAATGTCTCTGGCGCCCTCTGTTGGCCGGCTGCCAATGCCAACGTGTGTGATACAATCTCGTAAATAGCAAAGAATCAATAAAGGGAGCTTCGTGACATTTCCTTCAACACAGATCAATGCCATTTTTTTTGTCCTGAAAAAAATGGAAGCAAGGTGGACCCAAATGGCCAAAATAGTTCAGCGGTTTTGTCGTGTTTTTCCTACCTGGAAAACTTTTGGCGCGCTGACCAGTGAGGCCAGGGCGGACGACAAGGTGGCCGAGAAAATTCCCGCTGTGATGAGAGGCCCGAAGGCCGATGCCAGACTCATCGCCTGCAAGGCAAATAATTTGACTGCTCATCATTCGAGTCGCGCTTTGCTGAATGGACATTCTATTAGGACTTGTTTTCGGTCCTCGGGCAAAGACCGTCAACATTTCTTCAGTCCTTGTAAAGTGAAAACAATAAGCCAGACAAAAGGGTTGTCAACAACCCTGCCAAATGTGAATGGTTAGAAAAATAACCTGGTTACTCAAAGCCTTTAAAATCGAACAAAAGGTTGAGGTTAGTTTTCTCCCCTCTCAAAGGTTGTGGTCGTTGAAACCCCGGCCCCCCCCCCCCCCCCCCAGGGGCAATCAAATGCCAGTCGTCGTCCAGAATGGATGCTACTTTGTCTAACATCTTTCTTATGTCTACACATGGAATCGAGACCAGCTTTTTTCATGCCGCAACAACGAGGCGCTCTAAAGGCCACGCCAGTGGACGATCTGAAGGGAGGATGTATTCTCGGCGGGTTGGTATTGCGAGCTTGCTAAGTGCATGACGCACTCCCCCAAAATCAAGTCAAGCGAGATGAGTGCGACATAGCAACAATTATCGTCTTCGGATTTATTTTCAAACAAATATCGGAAGTCACTTGACGGGATCTTGAGAGACGTGTGTCAGAATCAAATACCGGCACGTTATCTCATCTCACACGGCCAAACTGAAATTTCAGTCGCTTGTGTGCATGTGTGTGGGAGTGCCTCAACAATGTGTCGATTCATGACGACAAGAAGCTTGTGACTCACAACAACTGCGACACTGTTGCTCCCAAGCGCGGGCACACACACGCTGATGTGGAGACGGGCCCGGGTGGCCATCTTACCTGGAAGTCATTCATGAGTCCGTACTGGCATCCTCCCTCTTTACAGATGGAGAAGTCGTACCCCAACGTACAAGCGGCGGCGTCCGTGCAGTTGACGGTGTCGCTCAGCGTGTCATTGACATCGCCCGTAGCGTCTCTCACCATGCACGAGCCTGAAGGATCGTTGCCAAGCACGTCGGTTAGCGTAGCGTAGCGTAGCGTAGCATCGCCATGCCAGATGATGATGATGATGATGATGTCACAGAGCGGTCGCCCACCTGCAGAGATGGCCACGCCCACGTAGGTGAGGCCCGTGATGAGGATGGCGAGCAGCGTTCCTTTGGGGATGGCGGACTGGGGGTCCTTTCAAGGATGGACAGACACCACACCAACGATTGGACCCGTGTCGAGAATCACTCCCGACCCACTCGATAGTGACCCCAAACTACACATCGCGGTTCATCGTTTGCGACCCACCGTCCAGGATTCTTAAGCGATCGTTTTGATGAGCGTTGGTCACACTTACGCTGAGGTCCCCGGAGATGTTGGCTCCCGCCAGGATCCCGGTGGCCGCCGGGAAGAAGATGGCGAACACGGAGAAGAAGGTCTCGTCGTCCCGGAAGTCTGGGCCCAGGTTTTCCACAAATATCGCCGCTGCGGAAATGACAAAGCATCTCAGACGAGTTCAAAGCAACAGCTGACGCGACGCAAGACCATTTTAACCAATCGGTAATCTTAAAAGTCAAGGACTGAATCTGGGTTCTTGCGATAACGATGCGTCCGGAAGCACCGTTGAGCTCGGTCGGCAATGCGGCGGTCATCGATCTGGACTTGACCGATGACGTCAGAGGCTCAGAGGTAGTATCATCTGTGACGTGTCCAAACTTCTCTCAGATTGGTGAAGGATCTCTCGCGGGCCAGGGGTTGCTCTGGGATCAGTGGGTCATGGCTGCCTGAATCTGGGACATCAGGAGAAACTCGGGGATCGGCTGATGATGTCTGGATGGAACGGATATGTCGGGAGACACTCGGGGATCTCAAGATGATCTCGGTTGATGTCCTTTCAGATCGGTTGGATGTTTGGATGGTTGGAGAAGGTACCAAGTGGTACGTAGTCTGGGAGTGGTTGAGTTTGTCTGCAGGGCTTCAAGTAGGATCATTTCTGTATTCATCTCCAATGTGTCAGGAATGCTCCGAGATGAGCATTCAGAGTCAGTCGGGATCTTTCGTGAGCCTGCGGGAGTTACCCTGGGATCGGTTGAGGATGGCTGATTGCAACGCATGTGTCAGGAGACGCTCTGGGACCAGAGAGGTCATTTGCGCACGGTCCCAGAGTGGACCAAGAGTTACTCAATGCTTGGTTGACGATGACTTAACTGTCGCGACTAATTTCAAGTGCAGGGGTAGGGAACGGCGGTTCCTTGAGAGCCATAACCTGCCCGCCTGGTTGAGATCTCTCTCTCTCTCTACGTCACCATACCCGATTCTTCAAACGCTCAACTCAGCGGCGAGGTCTGTAGAACCTTAAAACGGTCACGATCGATGGGATCAGGTGTGTTCGAGTCGGGAGAGATCGAAGACCGGCGCGGTACGGCTCTCGTGGAACCGCAGTTCCCGACCCCGTTGCTCTAACGGCTCAGGAACATTCTGAGATCATCTTTTAAGGATCTCTCATGTGCCAGGAGTTATTCTGCGATCGGCTGCTGGTGTCTGTAGGAACGCTCAAAGATCGATTCGCAGCGTTTTGGAAAAAGCCTCATATTTGCCTGACTTTGATAGCCAAAGAAGCCTCTGGGCTTCTTGTCCTGGGAAGGTATCAGGCTTCCGATGAAGTAATTTGCGATGGCGGCCAGCAGGACGAGCAGCAGCACGATCTGAGCCTTGGCCTCCCACTCCATCCCGGCCACCGAGATGCCCAGCAGCAGGATGACGGTCAGCGTGCCCACGATGCGGATGTCGTTCAGCTCGTCCGTCATCAGGGCGTCCACGTCCTGGAAACCAAGCCCGAGGGAGAGACAATGAAGAAAAGCGGCGCCATCAAAGGCTGCCGGGAGGCCTTCCTCACGTTGAGCATCTCCACCACCGTCTCGGCGAAGCCGACCACGTACATGGCCACCGCCACCGCGTTTGCAAAAGCGAAGATGAGGCCGATGGAGCCCCCGAACTCTGGACCCAAGCTCCTGGAGATCAGGTAGTAAGCGCCACCTGCAAACACACACGCTGCGGGGTGTCACGGGGACCGATGTCGTCCGCCTCTTCGACGAGGGCAAAGCATTTGGGAGACTTTCACCTCCCCGGACGAAGCCGTTGGTGGCGATGGCGGAGGTGGACAGACCCGTGATGGTGGTCACCAACGTGGCCATCAGGATGATGCCGATGGTCAGTCCTGCGCACAAATGGAACGTGCGTTAGCTCATCCCGGCGCTCGTGTTCGGCGACGAGGAAGCGACGGTGTACCGATGCCGGCCTGTCCCACAATCCACGACATCCGGATGAAGAGCATCACGCCCCAGATGTTCAGCATGCAGCGCACCTGCAGAGAATGCCACATGATGACCTCCGCCCCCGGCGTCGCGCCGTCCCCGGTGACTCCTTTGTGCTCCTAAATTTTGAACACCTTTCATAGGTCAAGTTTCGGGCCCGATCAGACGGACGGCTGCCTCGAAACCCACCTCAGAGCACAGGAGCGTCTTCGAGGATAATCGTGCGAGACACAAGCTGGTCTGCCTTTGGTCGTCTTTGATAAGGGGAGGGGCAAAATGGCACCAAAAGCGGGCGCATTGTCTTTGTCGTTACCGCAAAATTGGGCCATTTTTCAAGTTGAACTTAAAGGGAAGGATTTATCCTTTGTATGGCTGACCGTACCAGGACTCCTTTGACCCAACCGAACTTGATGGCGGCTCCTTTGGTCTCCTTGACCGCCCGGGGCGGTGTGTGTGTGTGTGTGTGTGTGTGTGTGTGTGTGTGTGTGTGTGTGTGCAGTGGCGTCATCAGTCGCACACATGCTCAAGGAGGCACGTTGACTCACACAGACTCGCTCCTTTGTGTTCCCTTCATTTGGTCCACCCGAGACTTGAGAACACGGGTGTCAAACTCAAGGCCCGGGGGCCAGATCTGGCCCGCCATGTCATTTTATGTGGCCCGCGAAGGCAAATCAATCATGTCAACTTCTACAATGATTGCTAAAATCTGGACCAAAATGTCAACTTCACATACATAATAAATAAGTGAGATATTGTCACCGTTTTCTTGTGAACAAATCCCTCATTACACTCATTTAAACAATCGTTGAGTACACCAATATTCTTGACTTCATTATGTTTTCACAGTCATCACGGCCCTCCAAGAGAAACGGTCACTGCCACGACAAAAATGAGTTTGACACCCCTTCTTTAGAACATCAAGTTGAAGGGATTTTTTTTTTTTACGTTTTCCCCTCACATTTCGTTTTCCCCTAACATCGTCAACTGAAAGCAACCTGTTGTTATTGAACTGGAGGAAAAAAAGGTTTGAGAATGATTTCAAAGATAAGCAAATGTCCTCAAGTGTCGCTAGTAGTACATTCAAAACCGATTCCAATGTCCAAAGCGAAAACATCGAGAGATCTATCTTTGTTGTAATACGCGCCGCCGAATGGCATTTTATGGCACCGACCTTGTCGAGTTGGTCGTGGAGCTCGGCGAGCGAGGGTCTGTTCATCTTCTCGCCGAGCGTGGCGTCCGTGTGGCGGTAGAAGTCGATGTTGGGCACGGCGTCCACCGTGTTGTGTCCGAAGGTCCTCATGTAGTACGTGTTGGAGTGCGTGTCCGACACCTGCGTCTGCCCCGTGCCCGTCGAGTGCAGGCTGACCGAGTCGCCCCGCGGCCCGTCCGGCTCCAGGAAAACGTCCGGCGGGAGCCCGATGTCGTCGGGGTCGCATATGCCCGGCC